TTTTTATTTCTGGTTCAAATTTTGTTGAATACACCCAGATGAAATCGTTATCATCGATTCATCAAAATCGTTATCATCAAAGATTTTTTATGACCATTTTCTCGATATTTTAAAATTAAACAAACCAATAATTATATTTATACTGAATTGTATGGAACTGGAATATAATTAAATGTGCCTACTATTCCACTACTTTATTATGTATCTTTTTTATAATTCAAAGTGGGGCAAATTTTTTTTGAGGCAACCTGAACATCGGAAAAATCCTAAAAGAAAACCAGCATGTTATCCTTTTTTAACTTGCCGAAAAATTGTTTTCCCATATTTTAAATTTTCTAACTTTTCAGGTGTATTATGTTCTCAACTGTTTAACCTTCACCAGATTATACTTCTTTACAACTTTCAACAATAGTAACAACAATCAGAAGAGCCGTCATTGTTGATTTTTGATTATCAGAATTGTCGTGATGTTGTTTGGGCAACTCATTCAAGTTATAGTTTGACTTATTACTAATTACAAGTCTAATTAGTTGTTTCGACAATCTATTTATGAGTCGATTGCAACTTTATGCAAATTTTAAAATTCGAAATTTTACCACAGACACGCTCAGAGAAGCAAAAAATCTTTCACTTTGTAAACTTCAACTCTTGTTTTGGTAGATCCTTTCAACTAAGTATTGATATAGACACAATTATGATTTTAGGCTATAATTTCAAATTATTGTGAGCAAGTCGAGCATAATTCATTAATTAAAGTAGTAATTACGACAGTTAATCGCTAACGTGAATCAAACATTGTCGTGACTAAGGGACATTTTGTTGACCAGTATCACCTGTAGAAAATTCATTTCCCAATGTACATTACCCTAAAAAGACTTCCATTGGGATTCAGGAAATTGAGCGGTAGAAGATCATCAAACAGTGAATATGACCATTTTTTGGTGCGGCTTCTTCCATCTGACCTCTGTGGCAGTATTGGAAGTGCACTTCACAAATCGGTCGAGAAACAGTCTGTTTAGAGGTTACTTCAAAAAGACGATTTTTTCCATTATCGGTCAACCAGTGAGGCACATATTTATTGAGCCATTCGCCTTTCTCATTTGTTCCAAAACGACTGAGAATGATAATGGTCAGTTCTTCGCGGTCAATCGCGGTCAATCATTTTATCTTCATCTTCAAGATTTTTGTCCTTTTCAGAACTTTTGCAACCAGAATTCCACTATGTCTTTTACAATCAATTCCCAGATCACTACTTTGCTCATCCAGAACAATACTTTGCTTATATTGCAAGTTCTCTATTACCATTCTCTTACAAGTTCATTAAAGGATTGGATGAAAGTGAGGCGACGCCAATTTTATTTCACTGTTCAATTAATTAAAAGTTTCTCGAATTTCTAATTATTTAATTTATTTTTCTTTTGCTATGGTAATTGGACAACAAGAGATAAGCGCAAAAATCTCAAAATACAAAAACGAGGGCAATATACTTTTGTTCCCGAATTTTTGCAAATTAATTTGACAAAAATTTGTCAAAAAATTTCAAAAGTTGATTGCATTTTTCTCAATTCATCTATTTCAACGCACTCAATCATCATATAAATGTATCAAACTAAATATGACACAACGATCTTCTGTGATAAATAATTGATCGCATTGATTAGTCTTTTTGTCACACATTTCACCCACTAATGACTATTGGTCTACAGTTTATGAAGTTTATAAAGTCCAAGAAAGAAGAAAAATTTGGAATCAGTTGAGGAAATGGTTGAAGCGACTTGTAACTGTCAGAATCATTTCTCACTGACCTTTCACTTCCTCCCACATCTTTTAAATTTTCATATGTAACCGCCTTTCCATCAATATTGCCCTTTCATCATTGTTACTTTTCATCAGTACTATTCAATTTCTCTTCACTCCGGTCATATCTTTTCGGAAAAAACCAGTTATTTCTCCATTTCAAATCTTCTTTAAGAGATCCGCTTACTTGCCAAAATTTGAGCCAAAAAAATTAGATTGCTGCGTTAGTTAAATTAAGAAGGTGCTAAATAAAATAAACATTCTTTTTCTAATTCGAGTAGATTCGATAATTATTGATCCGGAAAATTTACTGACTATTTCAAATGCGGGACAGAGACACTTCTTGGAAACTGATGACATTTACAGTAGCAAAAGGGATCGAGAATTCGATCATTGGCACTCAATTTTCATCCCTTTTTCAGTACTCATACATTTGGCCAAAAAATAAATTATACTGATCTATATGAAGCAATGACCATCAAAAAAAAAGGAAATCTCTGATGAACCAACGAAAAAGCTTACTTATGATAAGTAATCAAAGCCAACAGCCTTCTGGCTGGTTTATTCAATTCTACAGATTCTACAGAGAGTCGTGGAATACAGCACTGCTTATGAAAATTTGAAAGAGAGCTAGGATCACACAACCCTTAACTGATAACGAATAGATCTTCTCTGATAAGGATAACAAGGAATATCAATTAGCCTATTATGGATATCACTACAACTCCAAGCCAATTTCCGTGTGTTAAAAACTGAACGACCAAATTGTCAATCCTTTTTATCTTCTCCAACAATAATAATCATGCTTAATATAACATTAAAATTATTATCACATCCATTTCCTAGTAGTATAAAATGACACATATGGCGCATTGTTCTCTTAAAGAATTCGCTGTGAACTGGTTGTTGATAACTGAAATGGTATAATCAATCGTTAGTGTATTTTTGAAAATTCTTCCAAATAACACTGATCGTAGAATTTAGCACTCCAAATGAATCCCACCTTAATCGATAATGTGACTAACTGCCATTAACAACATTTTTTTATAAAAGATATCTTATCAATTCACATTTTTAGAATTCCTTTAAATTTAGTATCAAAAATGCTAAATGTGTAGAACTGTGCATATTAAAAGAGTTTTAAAAGTTGAAAAAAACTTCAGAATATACAATTACAATTACATGCTAATATAAACGGTTATTTTTTCCTAATTTATATAGCTATAATGTTATTGTTGATACTCTATGGTTTTTTTAAAATACCACTTTTCAAACTGGTTTAATTAGTTTTCAATTAATAAATGATAAAGGGATCATTAGATGTAAGATTTAGAGGAGTGTACAAAATTGCAAGGAGAGTGCTTGCTCGCAGATAAATAACTGTAGAAAGAAGGAGGAAAGGTATTTCAAGTTCTACAGAAATTGGAGACGAAAGAACGAACTGTCGGTGAAGAAAAAGCTGCACAATCTTATTCCATGGTAACTTCCATCGAAATAAAACATACAAGTAATTGTATTGTGGCAGGAGTTGTCGATTGTTGTTCCTCTGTCCTTATCTTTTTTTGGTATACAGTTGGAATAAGAATGAACTGAATGATAATTGGACTAGTCACGAATGTCATCCCAATTGCACGCAGGAATTATATTTTTTTTTTTGGCTGAAATGAATATGCGTAATTCACATATCATTGTCACATGACAAAACTTCATTCACTGATTCTTACTTTCTGTTTATTTCCTGAACAGTGACCGGAATTATTCCGGTTATCAGCACATTTTATCCCTTTCATATTGTTTTTGGAAATAAGCAGTAATTCGTTTTTCATTTACTTCATCCATCGTTTTTCTTTGCTAACGACAATGACTCAGTTAAACATAAAAAAGTAACTGTTTTCTGGTTTTAGTTTTTGCTAACACGTTAACTTCATTTTGATTATAACGCAAACACTTATTATTCTATTTTTCTCTTAAATATTAAACACAAAAAAATTCAAACCTCCTCAACAACTCATGTGTTGATCGTGTTGATCTTTAATCAGTGAGATGACACTTACC